ATTCCTTTAAAACTTTCACCATGAAGCTTTTTGGTATGCTGAGTTTAAAACGACATTAAATTTGTCTTCCAGGAATTGCTCTTAGAGTGCATTGATAAACTGTCCACAATGCGTATACAGTATTCGTCTACACTGTGCTTTCCTTATGCCGGCGGGAAAGCGCTGCCGGGTAACTATGTCATCGCTTAGTTCATCGCGTTCGATAGCCTCTAGACTGAAATGCTCATCAAGGACATCGTGAGTACCCTTAAGACTGTAAGCTCACATAAATGAACAGAAAGTGATTTAATAAGTTATTTTTGCTAGCTCTGCTACCAAAGCTATTCCACATAGCTTTAACTTAGCGGAAAGTAAAGTAAAATGCCAAACTTGAATTCCGTGAAAAATTGCTGAGGCGGGTTATCGATATGGTAAGTACAAGCAGGGGTCAAACGCTTCTTCTCTGATTGGATAAACGAGTGCAAAGTCATGATAAGTAAGGTCTAAGATAGAAATATTAAAATTTGGTCCTAGCGTAATCATATTGTAACTTCGAAGTAAATTGTTGATTAAGGGCGATTGTGATATCCGTTATTAACATGTCCCAAATAGCGAAAACCTCTTACCCTGTAATTTGCCTTTTTTCGCTTTGCATCCAAAATCATATAGTGCATAGGATTTTACAATGCGGAATGAATATAGATAGCAAAGAGCATACCAGGTAATTTGGAGCACTTTTAAGGCGGATTTAAGGTTTTAACATAGTACCATCTATCTAGTATGATCCTGAACAATGGTCCTACTATCAGGATGTGATTTCGTGATTTTCACGCGAGTATGTTTCACCACCTCGCGCTTTCCTCTAGAAGGAGCTACCGCATGGAATAAATATGATCATTATAGCAGACGTTGTAAATCAAAGTGCTAAATAATCGTTAGGCGAATCAGCGAGTTTCAAGATTTGAATTTACGTTTTAGTGTAGTGAGATAGTACCATCAACTAGTTTTTGCGCACCAACTACATTAATCATTTCTTTATCTTTTTAAG